TAAATATATATATTATATAACATTTTCAGTGAGTAATTTTGGATTTTGCAAGGTGCATTTTTACTATTGTTACATTATGTGGAAAACTCACGCTCATTTATTTAAGGGGAAAAAGTGTCAACTCTTTGTTATTTGATAGTGTGTTTATTTTTGTTGTCTTCATTTTAACCTTTGATAGAACCATTGCAATATGGGGGCCTTTTGGGAACGGACTGGTATGTAAAAGGAAATCCATTATCGAGCAGCATTTTGTTTACCCCCTCTCCTATCCCTAGGCACTTAACAAAGACAAAAAGCCACAACAAACATCCCTTTTTCAATGAATTTTATATGTGCAGCTCTATTCCGAGCCCTTAGCGCCCATTCTGACTGTAGTGTAACCATATCAAAGGGTGAGACCCATTTAGCATGTTGTCGAAAGGTTTTTCCAGTTGTTCTTTTTAGAAAAAACAAAGACAAAAAACAACCATTGCTCACAGAATTGGCGTCTCATTTCTGGAAGCTCCCATCTTTCTGTTTTGAGAAGTGTACAGTAGTGCAGTGCTCCCGATGTAACTTCATGGCTTACAGTGTTGACATGTCTCAGGTTCATGTGTTTCGATTGGTGTTTTCCGTCTCAGGTAGATTGCAAAGTGTAGGCCCCACACATTGGGAAAAAAATAATAAAGCAAAAACAGGAAATTACGGATTTTAGTTTGTATATTGGCTTATGTATTTTTTCTTAAGTATACAGTGCACTGTTTGAAATGTATTGTTGAGTATTACTTTGTACAGGTTGATCACTTTTTTTAGAGTGAAGAAAGAACAAACTTGTTTTTTTGTGTTTTTTAAAGGAATATAAAATAATGAAGGATGTATAATTGATGCCAAATAAGCTTGTTCTTTAGTCACACCGATGTCTTATTTTTCCCTCTAGGCCAGTTCTGTTTTTAAGGTGTACATGGACAATGTTACAGTGTAAGAAACTCCATACCCATATGTTCCCATTCGCATTTTGTATTGGTTCATGTATACCATTTTTACAAAAAAGAAAAAGAAAAAAAAGAAGTACTATAAAATATCTGTCTTCTTAATAAAAAAAAGTTAATGTTACAAAGTGATCCTTTAATCTCTTTATGGAGTTCTTACGGATGCCTCCGCCCCAGGGCCCAGCTTCCTCCTTAGGACCTGGTGCAGGGCCGAGCCATGGGCGGTAGTGCTGGCTGCTGACTGCCAGCTGGGTCTCATGGGACTGCATTCTCTCCCCTTCTCATCCTTCCAGTCCTTGTCCTCTTCTGCCCTCTCAGTGGACAGGTGAGCCAGGTGCTGGGCTGAATGGCGGCGCCTCCCGTGGACTCAGTGATCTGTGCAGGTATACAGGATGCAGCAGCCGGACCCCAGGGACCGGCCCAACTGTGGATTTGCCTCCCACCCTCGCCCCCCTCTTTCACCAACCACCCACCAACTTCCCTGTGTTGCCTGCTCCACCTGTCTCTTCCTTTGGGAATTTGTGTCTTAACAGTTCATTCTGCCTTCTTCATTTAAAGTTCTCTCCTTTCACAAAAGGAAGACATGAGCCACCGAGGACTGGCTTGGCTGCCTGCAGAAGATTGTTCTCACTTGCTGTTTAGGTTGCTGACACTTCCAGGCCTGGGTGGGCAGCAGGATTCAGTCTGTTGTCATCGTCCTTGCCTTGCAGGCCGAAGTGAACAATGAGTATACTTCATGGTGGCTGATCTTATAAATGAGCAGATAATATTTGACCAGTCTCCAAGTGCCCTATCCCACTGCTCTCCCGCTATGGATGAGTTCCCCACTTCTCTCTTGGTCAGGTAATGGGGAAGAATAAGCAGTGAAAGAAAAGGTAAGCTCCAGAAAAGCCAAACCTGTGTATCTTACTTTGGCCTCTTACATCCTGGCCTGGTGTCTTGCCTGTCTGCATGTTAAAAAACAACTAATCAGATATGCAATTATCGAGCACCTGCTGTGTGTCCAGCATTGTGAGGGACAAGGAGAAGTTTAAGGTGATCTCCGGAGGCCAGCCAGGTTATCAGTTATACCATATGAAAACATGAAGTGCCCCTCAGTTATGAGTGCCACACCCAGGGCAGGAAGGCACCCAGAGGGTGCTGTGAGGGTTTTTAGAGAAGGGGGATGAGTGGAGGCTGGAGAGTCACCTTCATGGAGACACTAGGAGTCCTGCTGGATTTAGCAGGTTGGTTTTATAGAGAAGTACTGTGAGTGTGAGATGCAGAGGGCTGTGCAAGCCCAGCCAGCCTGCCAGTGTGTATGGGAAGAATAAAATGAAATCAACTCTCCATGGAAGGCAGATCAGTTGTGGCTGTCCTCAAAGTCCAGCAAAGACAGCCTTTGCCAGGGGGCAGGGAGCAATGAGGAGTGCATATTCATTATATTATAGATCAGGACCCACATAGGCAATTTGGGCTGGCACTCAAAAGTGCAGCTAGAGTGAGCTCACCTGGGATTAAATCCCTGCCCCACCATTTATTAGCTGTGTAACTGCAGACAAGTTGCCCAACCTTCCTGGCCTTGGTCTCTTGATCTGTAACGTAGGGATTGCCAAAGCCACTAAAGAAATAAGCAGTCCCAGGCTGGGGGTATGGCTTAGTGGTACAGCATGTGTTTAGCATGCAGGAGGTTCTGGGTTCAGTCTCTAGCACCACAAGAAGGAGGGAGAGAAAGAGATTAGGAAGTAGGGTTCCAGCAGAAAATAAGCATTTATTACATGTTCATCAGAATGTAGGTTAAAGGCAAATTGTGATTAAAAGGAAACCCATGGCTATAAGAAATACTTTCACTTAGAGCCCTTTCAGGTCCTCTGTGTGTGGACACCTCATAGTACTCTGAACCTTGCCATGGAATTTAGTGACCCCTTCCTTGTCACTTCAGTAATATGGAAGTTCCAAGTCATGTGGCATATAATGTGTGTCATGCCCCACCCATCTTTGGGATGAAGAGTCATATTTGGCTGAAACCTGCAGAGAAGGGACCCCAGAAGGTCACTGAACTGAGGCAGATGTATGGTGGCAACTTTCTGTATGTTTGCCCTCCGAGATCCCTGGAGTATGCAAATGAGAAAAGCATCTAAAGCAGTGTTAGTAGGAGCTTGATAACGTTGCCTGGTCCTTCCATCTCCAGAGCGCTTTCTCAAGTGTTTTTTGGCCTAGTTGCCTTCTCCAAATACATCAGCTGGAAGCCTGCAGGTGTTAATTGGTGCAGTCTTTCATAATCCTCTGTCTACCTGAAATGTAATTCTTGTACTGTTGTGGACTTGCTCCACAGAGACGTGTTCCTTTGATTTTGTCATCCAGAACCTTAAAGCAACCATGCAATCACCATGCAACAGGTAGAAAAGCCGTGCTTAAGTGAAGCATTTGTGTTCCATTACAACGTTTTGCCTCAGACTAATACACCTATTTGCTGGGATGCCAGACACAGCCTTAGTCATGAAGAGTTGGCAGCCACATTCCTTCAGAGTGAAATTGATATTCACAGCTACACATTATAGTTCAGAAACATTTCCAAAATGAAGCACTTGAATGTACAGAGGAAGGAAGGGATTCTTGGCTGTCAACCAAATGACCTTGTGGCCAGTGTGTGAAAGTCAGTGGTGGGCATAGAGTAGGCTCTCAGCAGTAGCAGTTGATGAAAGGGGAATAGTCAAGCACCTGGTTGCCTGAATCTTACATTATACGTAGAATGAGGTGCCAATTTTGTATTTTGAAACTCGATATTTGTTAATTTCATCCTTGAATTAGGTAGCTTTCAGGCTGGCCTTGAAGAAAATGAGCTGGCTTGCCCTGATTTCAGTGCCTTTGGTCCCATCATTCTTAAGGACCTACGGAACCACATACTTGTCCCCCATCTGGGTGATGATGACATTTTTAGTAACGGCTAAGTGAAGCTGTAAGGTAACATTGTTATCATTCAGAGTGCAGCATGATGTTTTAGAATATTCAAACCACATTCCTTGCCTCATTTGTGTTCATCTCAAAATACTGAAATGTGCCTCTGATAGGAGCTGCAGGATCCAGTGCCCCCAGAATGGCCCTATAATATTACTCAAGGTGGGAAGATGGTGGTAGGCATCAAGGGTAATATGAGAACCTGAAAGCCAAGATCTAAAAGCGAGAATCTGTTTTCCAATCTTATAATCCTCATTGTCTTGGCTCTTTGATACACAGGAGACTATATATGTTTTATTTTTTATGCTTTGGTCTTCTGGGTCCCAAAGGAACAAAAACTGTGCACTGCTCCTGGTGGTCAGTGCAGGAGCTACAACTCAAAATCAACCATATTGAAATGTGGAATTAATTCCAAAGAGGAACCTGACTTTCTACTGCATTTTCTGTCACACACATGCACATCTACCCTTGCTTCCCACTTTACCCTCCTAATCCTTTAAAGTGGTGAGCTGGGGAGTGAAAACCACTACTGAGGCAAGTCAATGTGGACTCTGGTCCCAGGACTTAACCAGCTGCCCTCTAAATATGTGCTGGCTCACAGTCATATTTCAGACATGCCCGCCTTAAATCTTCCTTAAGTACTGTCTTCTCAGGTTAATTAATCACAAGGCTTAAACTTGCTGTTACCAGCAGGAAGTCCATCCTGAAGTCAGCAATGTTACGATTGCATCTTCTAATACTGTTTATCCTGCATTAGTGTTTACTTAGGGGGAAAATTGATCTGTAATTGATATTTCAGTCTTCCAGAGCTGGTGTTGGAAGAGCCTAATGCAAGCCTTTTATAGCAAGCAAATATTTAAATCCCTTAATGGTTGCTGAATATTGAAATGTGTGACTTTATTACTCTTTTTTGGTTTGTTTTTTCTGTAGTTGTGTATTTCATCATTTAAACTTGCAACGGATGCTGGCAGGCTCCAGTCTAGCTAATCCACAAAAGCTGTTTGCCCAGACACAGCAGTCCTGATTAAAAAGTATTGCTGTGGAAGGGAATCTTCTGCACTAATCAGTCCCTGTTAGCTAGTGACGAAATTACTATCCATCTCTCTCTCTCTCTCTCTCTTTTTCTTTCTCTCCCTCTCTCTAGGCCTGTTTTCTCTAACCTCCTCTCCCAGAATAAAGTGATGGGGGCAGCTATAGTGTTGCAATTAGGAGCATGAATCTTTTATCGTTTGGACAAGGAAGGGAAAATGCCATTACTGTCAACCAAAATGTCCTACTTGGGTTTTTCGCTCCTACTTCCCTGCCAAAGCCCATTGCTGCTGCTGAAAGTGTATAACATTCACAGCTGTTCTTGATGGCTTGATTCTTAACACAGCCAGAAATGTAGCCCGGGAGATGCTTAAGACAGTTTGTGGAAAATAATAGATTTCCTTGCAGAGACACCAATGCATCGAGAAGGGCCTGAGTCACCAATTTTCTCCCTTTCTGGATTCAGTCACAAAGCCTTTTGCTAAAACATGCAGGCCCTCTTGAATTCTCTGTTTTCCTGGTTGGTTCCTATCAGCACCCACAAGTCTTTGGCTGTGGCGCCCTTTGTCTCACCACTCACCTGCAGCAGCCGTGGGATCTGAAAAACAGCCAGTACCTGCAGAAGAGGAAGGAAAAGAACACTACCAAGTAGAGAAGAACTCCCAGGACACCAGCTGCTGAAAGCTAAGACCAGGTCCACCAGCCTGGGTGCTCCAGAGACAAGACAGCTATGTTGGAGGTCACCACTGCCATCCACATAAGGGTGGGGTCTTCCTGTCCCTGTGCAGCACCCCAAGTGGCCATCAGAAATGCCAAAAAGTGGCATAGTCAGTGCTTCTAGCTTCAGCTATGAAGCCCTGACACCATCACCATGTCCTGGCTCTCAACCTAGCCCTTAGTTAGGAACCTCTGGGCATGACCCTCCAGTTGGCAGGTCAAGAGGGAGTGGCTTCGCACAAGGTCTCAAGTGTTGGGAAGGCTGCAAGAATGAAGCTACCGCAGGGTTGTAGCTTTCAGACTGTTTACTCAAATGCTCATCAAAAGCCATGTATCTCCCCAATGGTGCCTGGAAAGAAAGGTAGAGGGCACGGCTGGCTACACCAGCCACATATCTCTCCCTTTCATTGTAGCTGCAGCCACAAGCACCCCCAGCTGAGTGCCACTACTCCCCGACTGTTTTCTTTCTCAGCTTCTCCTAAATGGAAGCCATTAATCATACTAAATTGTGCAATGATTCCAAGATAGGGAGAATGCTGATGGCAAAAATCATTCTCCTTTGTTGTGCCAGGCAGGCAAAAGGCAGAAGTATTAGCTCGTTGCCCTGCCTGGCTTCTTGCAAATGCTGACCATGTGTTTGCCCACACAGCTGCCTCTATGCACACAGCTTATTTTAGCATTGGTCTCAGGCATCCCAAGTGTTGACAGAAAACAAGGCACCCAGCTACTTCTTCCTGATTGTGAGGACTGTTGGGAAGACTTGTAACTGGGGCACACCCCTCCCTTGCAGTCTTTCCCATCTCAAGGTTCCCAGACTGGGGAGGGTGGGTATAGGCTTTATGTGGCGAACCCACGGTGGTCTCAGATGGAGTGAACTGGTAAGGTAGGCTGCACCCCCCCACACACACACACATCTGCCATCTGGGTTGCAGAAGCAGCCAGGTGTGGGTACCAAGGAGGCTTTTTGCCTTTCAGAATTTGATGTGTGCTTCGCTTTCGACAAGCCTCTTTGTAAGCCACCCCTTCTGAATTAGAATCATTTTCCAAAAGCTCTTAAGCTATGATTAATGCCAGGGCTGTTTTTAACAATCATCCTGCCAGTCTTAAGCTGTAGTCATTTTCAATAATTTGGAGTGCTCAACGGCAAGCCAGGAGTTTGTTGACAACAAAACCCATAAGAGCACAGCCAGGCAGCCACAAAAGATGGAAAAGCAAGGGGACCATTTGGGCTTAGCTGGCTTTCTGCTCCCAGAGTTTCACCACTAAAAGTTTGATTGAACGCTCACAATGCATTAAGGATCCAACTGTGAACATGGCTGGGCAAGAGGGCTGCCAGCCTGGCTTTTGTGTGAACAAATGAGCAGCATGTTTGGAGGGCTTCTGGTTTATTTATGGACATGTGTGCTTCATTCATGCCATCCCAAACCAGAGCATCATCTTTTGTCTTCCCTTTGCCAACACTGAAGACCAAGTACTCTTGTTCCCTTGTGGCACTGTTTACTTCCCACAAATGCTGAGCAAGTCCCTGGCCAGAATATGGGATTCCTTCTCCATGGATGGCCCAGCCGTTTCCCCAGCCATGTGTGTTAAACTTGCCCTCTCTTTCTAGTCTTGGCAGTTTCATGCTAGAGTATCCATCTGTTTGAAAAGCCCAAACTGAAGGAAGCTATGGCTTGCTACATCCATGATCACAGACTTACTTAGACTTGGCTTTGGATGGCACTTTATTTCTAGCTCATTACTTCTGCTAGGAAAACGTCGGCTCTGGGTGACAGAAGTTTAACCCAATGAATTTGGTGTGATTGATAGATACTTGCATCTCAATTCAATCCTGCCACCACACTAGCTGTCATGAAGGTGTGTTACTAGCCAGGGAGAATGCAGACTGGTGGTGATAGGTGAGAGCTTTCATTAGCTGACTTCCAATAAGCTCTCTTCAACCATGAAACACAACAGGATTCCCAGTTCTGATCTCAACTTGACCTTAGAGGTATCAATCAGCTCTCTCTCTCTCATCCCTCTCCCTTCTCCAATTGGTCCCTCTCCCCTCTCGCTTGACTGCAAGCCCCTTTTGAAGTAGAATGAGCAGATTGCTAGTGGCTGCTCTCTAGAGCCATATTTCTATCTTAGGGCTGCCCCAAACAAATACCATAATCTACTCGTGACTCTGCATGGCTGCAGTTTACCCACCTCATAAGAGCATCACTGGATTTTCTTGGCAACTTCTCAAAGACTAGTGGGAACTCATCCTGCCTAGCCTGGCGTGTGCTTTAGGGTCATGAAGTTTTACTCCTTCCCTTATATCCCTCTCAGTTAACAGCATTTTCCATCTCCCAGCCCAGCAACCTCAGAGCCACTCCACTTCCAAATTCCTGCCTATTTTTCCTTAAATGCTTCGCAAGCTTGGCCCAAACTCATCATTTCCATGTTATATTGCCTCATTGTGGTCCTAAAAGGAGCCTTCAACCAAAGGAATGTAGCAACCTCTCCAGGCTTCCCTGTCCCTGTCCCCCAGCCCATTGTCAGTCCTAAAGCCAAGTGTACCAGGTCCCTCCCTTGCTTGGAAACAACACTCGGCTGACATTTGACTACAGAATAAATTCAAATCCTCACAACATGCCATCAGCTTAGTCTGGCCTTTCTGTCTCACACTGTGACCCGCCCCCACTCATGCCCAGACCCAGACCCTCGCCCTATAATTGCTAAGCTTTATTTCAGCACCATTCACACCTCTGTGCCTTGGGGTACTCCGGGGGTGTCTTCCTCCCTGGAGGTGGATTCAGGTTCTTTCTGTGTTTTCTCAATTCTTCATACTTGCCTCTCCATTTGTGTCCTTATCGCATGTCTGGACAGTTTGTTTACCTATCTGTCTCCCTCGATAAACAGTAAATTCCTTGGGAGTAGAGAATGAATCTGATCCAGCTCTGTATCTCCAAAGCCAAGTATAGTACCTGGCCCTTTGCTCAGTAAATTATTAATAAATGAATAATGAGAAGTTTTTTCATCTATAGTTGGATTGGTCTTTCATGTGTCCTTCTCTTTCCTAGAAATATCCTGGTAAGGCCTGCTCTGTTCTTTCTAACTAGAAGTACTAAAGTTTCTCAAACTCCCACTGCCTGCTTTGTTACATTTTCACTTTGGCTTAGTTTTGATTTTGTTTCTTTTCATCCTGATCAACACTGTTTTTTTCCCATCCCTGCCTTCTAATTTAGAAGGCTATTTTACCCACTAAGGTCAATATATGCACTAAAAGCGTTTTCAGGGTCTGTGAACACATTTAAGACCTGGAAAGAAAAAAATAGGAGTTCCAAAATTCAGAGAAGACCAGAAAACTGTCAGATCAGATTTATTAGATTTTTTCATTAAATATCTATAAAACCACAACAGTGTCAACCAATCTGCAACCAAGCTGGTAAATAATCGGGTATAAAGTGTATTCAACATGGGGGTGGGTTGTATTTGACATACTGTGGAACAGTGCCTCTGTGAATTGAGGTTCTAGGCCCTGCAAACGTTTTCAAACATTTCTGCTCTCTCCTTTCTTGTTCTCTTGTTCTGCTCTCTGAATCTTGCACCTAACTCTGAGTACTCAGAACAGGTCCTGGAGGGATCCAGTCCAGGAAAAGCTAAAACCTGCCAAGAGGGCAGCATATACCTGTTTTCGTGAGCCATCAACCCCCTTCTTTCCAAGCTGATACTTTGCCAGAAACTGACAAATGCACCCTGGGGGCTCAGGATGGAAAGCTGAGCTGCCCCAGATCTGCATAAAGCCTTTTAGACTCATTAGCAGCTGATCCTTGTGGGTTGAGCGGCAGCAATATGCAGAGATGTCTGACCTGCACACCCAGCTTCCAAGCTGTACTGCAGATTGTTGGGGCAGACACCCTGGGCTTTGAAGGGCAGGTGACTTCTCTGCCCTGCTGCTGTTTTCCAGCTCTTGGTTTTTGTTTTGGTGTGTGGGAGGAGGAGAGCTGGTGGTGATGAGCTCCAACTCCAGGAGCCAGTATTCATGAGTAGTGTTTCCAGCTGTGCCTCTGATTCAGCCAGTGACCTTGGGCAAATCTCTTCCTCCCTTGGCCGGCTCTCCGTCTATAAAGAGCCTCCATCTCAAATTGTTTCGGGTTATTTGTTTGTAAAGTACTTTGACATCTCAGATCTAAAGTACAGTAAAGAGCAAAAATACTGCTGTTATTATAGTGCATTTAAAACCCCAAATAAAATGTGTTGCTTGCTCTTGGGTTGAAAATTAACAAGCTTGTAATAATTGATAACTAATTGCACTGTAGCTTTACAGTGTCTTTGCCATCCTGGGATCATCCAATTTTTACCTTTTCTTTAAAAATAAATAAAGGCTCTTTTGTGAAGAATGGCTTTCATTTGGTAAATAATTTTGACTTGCATAATTACTTCTGTGACTTTTCTTAACAACATTGCTGAGTCTGAAAAAGCCTCGCCCCCAGCCCTGACCCAGTCTTCCATCTTGGTGCTGGGTAAAATAATTGCGCAATTAGGAAGAAGTGGCTGGAGCATCAGGATTCTCTGTATTTTAAGGTGGGAGTCTGACTTTCACTCCCTGCTTGCTTGAGTGGGTGAGCCAGCCCGTTATTAAAAAAACAATTATGCTGTTAAAAAATAAGGAGCTCCACAAGTGAAGAGCATCGATTGGCAAGAGCTGGTCAGTTATCACCAGAAGGTCCTGACAACACACTAATAGGTTTTTCTGAAGATCCAATCAAATTTTCTAGGCAGAGGCTTGAGGTGTTCCACATGGGATAATGCTTGTCCTGGGCAGTATTGATTTCAGTGTGTGGCTCTCCTCTCCCCCCTCATACTGGATCACCCTCTTCTGCTGCGGCCACCTTTTTTTATATAATAAAGATTTGAGCCTTGTATTCCATATTAACAGCACAGCGGGGGAGGGGGAGCTTCAGAAGTACAACTGCCCTTGCCTCAGCCGTCCTGCACCACTTTTTGTTACTCTAAGCTTAAAGTTAGATCAGCATCACTGTTCCTGCTCTGCTTCTTCCTGACCTTGTGTATTTTATTTTCATGGCTGCTTCCAGACCAGCTAGTGGGCCCTCTTAGAAGAGACTCAGAAAGCAGCGGGAAGTACAGAGGCTTCCAGCTCCCATCCCCTCCCTCACACACCACCTTGTAAATGCCCCAAGCAAGGAGAAGAAGCTGTCTGGTGCACACTTGGGCATGGACACATGTGACTGTGGATATAATTGCTCACTTGCCAAGGGTGTCAGATCGAAGGGGTAGATGGGGACACAAAATCAAGCTTTGTGCCCTGACATCAAGTTGTATGTTCTTGAAGTGGGGTTCAGTTTTTCATGAGTTTCTAATTCACACAAAAATGTAAAGATCCTTGGTGGCCTGGAGAGAAGCAGCAGAAACAAGAGTCTCCAGGATGCTGAGTAATTCTGCGGCTATGCTCTGCCAAGCCTGTGCCCTGGTCATTCCCACAAGCATCCCAAGATGGGATAACCACATTGGGGACATAAAACACTTTTTGCAGCTATGCTACGATCATTTGAATTTCCATCATAGACCTCACTCAGGTCGGCTTCTCATACTTACTAGGTTGGCATTCACCTCACCCACCCAACCTCTTTTGCCAGTTCATTCCCCTGTAGACTGCTGCGTCTAGACACCTGGCATATCTTTGCTCATAACGTCTCGCTCCCTCACTGGCTTTGACCAGGGGAGACTCCAGTTCAAATCCCAGCTTCATCACTTAATACAAGTCAGCCCAGGAAAAATCTTAGAGTTTGTTTCTTCATACCTAAAATATCCTCCTCACACAAGACTATGGAGATCATATAGGTAATAATGTTTTGCTGCTACACAAATGTTAGCTACAAGTTATGGTCACAATACTGGGACGTGGAGAGTCTTGCCTCCTCCCTGGGGCTTCCTGGACCCTGTGGACAGCGCCTGACCAGATTTGGGTGAATTAGCACTGGCTCCAGTCCGACTCATTTCTCCCCTACTGTTTCAAGTGTGTGTTTTGGTGCCACCGCCAGGCTGTCAGTACCTTGAGCAGCAGGGTTATACCTTACACTGGCCCTGGCTTCTCCATGGCCCTACAATATGCTGAGCACATGGGGACTACTCCATAACTGCTTGACTCCCCTGGGTATTTATTGTTATATAATTTTTAGTCTATAGCACTTCCCACCTAGGAAGAGACTTAAATGGAAGCTGTAGCTTTGGTTTAGTTCATCCAATCACAGAATACAGAATGTCAGATCTGCCAAGGACCCCAGAGCTTATCCAGTCCAACCCCTCATTTTACAGACTTCGATTGCAGGCAGCCTCACAGAGGAGTACCAAATACCAGCCGGAGATATTATGTTCCCAACCCCCGCCTCCCCCCGCCAAGACACCAGAGCCAAGCTAATGACAGCCTCATCCTTTACCCTCAGCCATAGCAGCTACAGGGCAGCGTTTCCCAGCAAGCAGGCACTGAAGCCCCGGCAGGGAACAAGAGCACAGAGTCCATTGCAATGCAGATTCTCTGGCCCACACATTTTCACTGCATGGTAACTCTGGGGTTGAGGCCCAGCAATATGCATTTCCTCCGAGTCCTCCAGGGGACCTGGAGGCATGCTGTACTGTGAAGACCACTGCCTGACCAGGGGAAACACGCTGGGTTTAAAGTTGGCAGACCTGTAAGTGGTTCTAGGCTTTACTCCCGAGGGGCAGTATCTCCATCTGCAAAGCAGGAAATACACAGCCCACCTCAGTAGGCTTTTGCGTGCTCTAGATGGAGGACGCACCTGGCACATAGTAGGCACTTAAGAAATGTTAGCTGTGTTTGAACTGCCACTTGTCTTGGGTGAGTGGCTGAATGGCTGATTGCAAGGCTGATTGGAGGACATGCAACTTTCATCAGCCTCATCAGGAAAGACAAATCTATTAAGTGCCTAAATGCACGGTATTCTGTTCTCTATATTCAGAGAAAAAAGAATTCTGCAAACTAGGGGAGATGACAAGGGAGAGTACAGAGGTGAATGAAGGTTTTGGAAATGCAAGGATCATGGTCCAAAGTTGGTAAAGGACTGGCACCTTGTGCTGGCCGTGTGATCCTGATCAGCTTATATAGCATGCTCATTCGAGCCACAGGTTTCCGGGGGACTCTTTTATGTGCCAAACAAAGTGCTAGGCATGAAAACACACTAGGGAATGAGTTGCATGAGACCCTGTGACAGAGCAAATATTCCACTTGCTGCTGTACTTGTCCTGGCCTCTTCCGTTTGGGGAGGGGTACGTGGAAGTGCACAGAAAGGGTGTGTGGCCCTCATCCCTAAGGCTGCATTCTTTCCTAACTGCATGCCATTGTCCAGCCCCCTCTTCCCCAGCTGCACTCACCATGAAGGTCACGTGTTCCACATGGTGCAACCACTCAACACTGAAGTCTCCACTGTCCCCAGTCTGGATCTCTGAGTGACAAAGTTGAACAGAGGCCCCTGTTCACCCCCATGGGACATGTACCATGAGAGACAGGAGCTTTGGGATTTCTGTTCCATTGAACAGCCCAGTCTCACCAGACTAATAAACTGTTCTGTGACTTGCATTCCAGAAAGGCAAAGCACACACACACACATACATACACACACACACACACACACACACACTCACACACCATTGACTGTTTAGCTATCATTGTAAGAAGCATGAGGAAGGAGACCTAGTGGTTGCATAGAACTGCATACCACCTCGGGCTTATCTAGTCATGGTGGTGGAGTTCAAAGACAGCATGTTAGTTTTCTGTCACTTTAACACATACCCGAGATAATCAACTTATGAAGAGGAAAGTGTTACTAGAGGTTTCAGCGCCTATTGTCATTTCGGCCTCTGGTGGGACAGCACATCATGGACATCAAGGCAAAAGCACATGAGTGAAGCCAAACCCATCAGGTGATGTCCTAGAAAGCCAAAGAAAGGCAGAGTGGGGCTGAAGTTCCACCATCCCTTTCAAGGGCAGCCCCATAACCTGAAGACCTGCCACTACCAGGCCTCACCCCCTAAGGATTCTACCACCTCCCAATGGGGCCAAGTTGGGAACTCAGCCTTCCACACAGAGACCCTGGGGACATTCCACATCCAAACTAGAGATGAAAGCTTCTCTGGAGAGGTGTAAGTCCAAGCCTGAGAGACGAATGGAAGTTACTTAGGCAAAAAAGGGAAGGGGAGCCAATGCCTCAGCAAAAGAAATAGCATTGCTAGGGCCCAGGACTGCGTGAGTGAGATGTAGCAGGAGAACAGTCTGACAAGTAGGACATTAAGGGCAATAAGGGCTGGACAGGAAGGTGGGATAGAACTGGATTTGGAGGATTGTGCAGGACTTTGAATTTCATCCTAACACAAATAGTAAACTGAAAATTGTAAACAAGGTAGCAGCAATAAATCTGCTTTTCAAAATGCTTCACCCTCCCCTTCTTCATCTGTGCAACAAGTGCAATAACACTGCACTGTGAGCAATAACACTTCAAAGAATGGTGAGAATGGAATGGAATCATCTCTGTAAGACAGTGCCCAGCTCACCGTCAGTACTCAGAAAGACCGCGTGCCTCTCCTTTGTCTTGTCCTCTCTTGCTCAGTGCCCAAGTACACTGGTGTGATCTTGTGTGGAAGGTGTCAAATATATAGGAAGAGAGCCAAAACATCTTTGTGCAACAAAATAGCAGCTGACACACTGAGCATGGAATAAATAGTATTATGATGATGCACATTGTACAGATGGGGAAACTCAGACATAGAGTGGTTAAACTATTTGCTCAGGATCACATAGCTAGTAAATAGCAGGGCCGGATTTAAACCTAGGGCCTGTGGTTCTCACTCTTAATCACTATACTCCATTGCCTCTTTGAAAGAAATGAGAATTTTAGGAAAACAAAATGTTCAGAGAGAGCAGCTCTGGCCAGACTCAAAGGGGTGAATGGAAGAGATGAGCCCAGCCACTGATGCTGGGCAGACAGCCAAGGAAAACTGGATTCAGGGCTCTGTGGCCTCAGAACATTGCCCATCAAAGTCAGAGGCAGAACTTCTCACCACAGCCCTGGGATTGACAGCCCAGGGAGGGAAACACCTACTCTAAGTCACCTTTATCAGCTGCCACAAGCCCCATCTAGAGACAAGCCCCTCCTAATGTGGCCCACTTCCCAGGTCCCTGCTGGATGAGAGTCCTGGGCCTCAGGGAGAACACGGTGGGGCCTGGTGTGTGCCCGTGGGACTGAGCCTGAGGCGCATGGTGTCAGCAGGGCCCTTGTGGAAGGGAGGCCTAGCCGGGCTTCCAGGGAGGCAGGCAGGATGGCTGCCCTGCTC